GCTCTATTTGATTCATACTCATACAAGTCTTACTTTGGTTCATGTGTGGGGATCTGTTAGCTTTGTTGTTCCTCTTCATAAAGATTTCATAGACCTTCTCTGGATGTCCAGAGGCAGAGCTGGAAGAAGCTCTATTATCTCCAGAAGTAAGCGGAGGATCAGTGATGTGTGTGGGCACGTGCTGTGGTTCATTTGTTGCTGGGTGGGTTTCTCCTGGGATTGGGCATGGCTCTGGTCCATCAGCTTCTTGGAGAGACTGACAGGAAGAGACTGGAATGTCTGTAGGTTGGGGATCATCTGAGATTTGCTCACCTGGTGACTGATGTGTGTTCAAACTAGAGGCTCGTCCGGTCTGAGATCTCCCTCTCCCCGTGCCTCTCTTCCTCTTCCGGCCTCGTGCTGGACGAGCAGACGTGGGAGAAAAACTAGAGTCCATCTGACAAGCTGAAATCTTACCAGAGTTCTGGCTGTGTTCAGCAGATGCACACACAGATGCAACAGCCTGTGATGGTTTATTAGGGTCCCCAGATGCAGTTGTTAGAGAGAAGAAATCTGTCTGAGTGTGCGGCTGTGAAAGGTCGCTGCTCTGTGTGCTCCTGTTCTGTCCTTTGGCACGACCTCGGCTCCTGCGATGTCGTCCCCTGCTCAGCTGGGACTCTATTACAGCCTGCATGTCAGGCTGGCTCTGTGAAAATGTCATCCGTCTTGTGGTTCGAACGTAGTATTCCACTGGGAAAAGTAGTCCCTCCACTAATGTACAGGAGTCCATAAGGCTCCCACTTTTTCCACCTCCAGTCAACTCATTCTTTTCCTCTTTTACTTCCACACTATAATCATGCCTTTTTTTACTTTCTGTTTTGTCCCCTACATTTTGTTCAGTGTCTTTACTAATGTTCTCTTCATTCCGTCCTCTACTATTTCCACCATCCTCTCCTCTCGCCCCTTCTTTTCTCGGTTTGTTTTGTGTGCCATCCTGCCCCCTGTTTTCAGTTTGTGTTGTGAGCAACAATGACTCAGGTTCTTTCTCCCCTTCACCTTTTTCCTCAGCATATTTTTCCTTTTGTTCTTGGGATCTAGGGATGTCTTTTCCCTGAATATCCCCTGATTCAGTGTATCCATGTGTGCTCCAGTGTGTAAGCAGCAGAGAGGGAGACTCAGAATCTGTACCAGAAAAAAGCTCTTCACTTTCATTTATAGCATCTGCTTCATCTGATGTGAGTTTCTCCTCCTCTCCTGCTCTTTTGGCACTTTCCATCCCCTCACCCTGCTCCTGTCCCTTTTCATTGTTCTCTGTGCTCCTACTTTCCCAGCGTAGGCGGCTGCGTCGTGACCTGAGGCGCAGGGAAGAACCTGTTCTATAACCTGTAGGTTCAGCATGGCTGAGATCTGGCGTTTGCGGGCAAGCATCAGATGGAAGTGAGAACTTGATCACCTGGTTTCTCCTTGAGTTGTCAGATTCAGCTGGACCTGGTGAAAAATCAGATGATTTGTGAATTTCACTTTCTGCTTTTATTACAGGCCAAACATGCTGTGCCTCTGACAGTAATAACAGTGTAGTCTCATCCATATGACAAAGCAAACGTCCCATGATCAAGTGTTACCTTCAGTGTGTCTCTGGCTCTGAGTTAAGCCCTGAGCTGTGTCACCGCTGCTGTTCAGTATCAATGAAGAAGGACTGAGACGGAGATTTGATGCAGCCTCCGTGTCTCTTTGCTCCAGGTGGTTTTGTTCAGCGATCCTGCTCCTCACATGTTTCTGTACTGCCTCCAAGCGCTCGGCACGCTGTTTGCAGATGTATGCATATATATATATATATATATATATGAGACAAAAAGGCTCTTTACATTTTTCTTTTTATAGCACAATGAAAGACACTCACCTGCAGTCTCTGGGCTGTCCTGAGATATTCCCTTTGTAATTCAGCCAACTTCCTACGAAGCTGAGAAAAACAACATTAATCTCAGAGGTCATGGCAGCATTTTATGTGGCTCAGGTGTGAGGACAAATGCAGGTTACCTTCTCCTTATCATCAGAATGCAGCGTAGATCTCAGCTGCTCCTCACAGTGCAGAATATCTCCCACAGTGGTCTCCATGCTGCTCTCTGGTCACAGCAACACACGACTAAGACTTAAATGTAGCCATGACACGGCTTCTATGGCGCTAGCACAGCTGGCAGACGTAACCTTTGCCATATAGATTTCCCTAAAACTTTAGCTCACTTGACAATAACGTGATTTTTCTTTAACTGAAAAACCCACACGAAACATAAACGTTAGCAGCCAACAGCCGAAGCTTACACCGCTATTGATAAACACCGATACTTAATTAAATCTGCAACTTGCCTTTTACTGTAGTTCATGCTATTTCATAAGGTGAGCTCTTCAGCGACTACACCGGGCTACAAGTTTATTTTGACGGTCGATTTGGCAGCTATCGATTTAGTTCTAATTTCCCGCGACTCACATCGCCAGGCACGAGCAGTCGAGCGCCGATGAGTCGATCAGCGGTAGGTAAATGAACCCAAGCGTTGCTGCCGCCCCCTCGTGTCTGGCTGCAGTGTAGGTCATAAACTAAGGAGCTTGGAGAGAAAAGCGGCTGGACTTCTTTACGTTTCTTGAAGACGTTTCACCTCCAGGAGCTTCTTCAGTTCTAACACCCGATGGTGGAGAGTCCCAGGTCATAAACCCTGTTATCCCCAAAGATTCCTTTTAAAATTATTATTAGTCCTCATCACGCTGATTTGTCTTTAAGGGATAATCATTCTCATAAGTTTTATTTTTACTATTAAAATTGGGGTGCAGCATTTTGATGACAGCTTTGATTGTCAGCTGCAGAAATAAAGTTCTTTGACGGCATTAAATAAAACCTGGTGTAAAGTCAAAGTTCTGTATTTAAATGCTGATCTGAAAACTTTAATCAGGAATTCTTTTACAGTGCATTTTGCCATACAGAATAATATTTTAAAGATATCATTTCTACAGGACTGAATAGTCCTGTACATACATCAGTATGTAAAAGTCCAGAGTCTCTGTGCATTATCTGAGGATCATGTGAAGTCCTTTAACATTACACAAAGCAAAGGTCGCTTACAGTGTTCAAAAAGTGCTGTTTTTGTTCAACATCAGTGGGGGATCTATGGTGGACGCCTGAAGACGATTTCCCTCTGAGGAGGCTGCTGGTGAAGATGTTTCTGACATGATTTCTACCTCACTTGGTCAACAGAACATCTGGCACAGGATAGCGGTGAAGAAAGAGAGGGAGAAAGCGGCTCTAAACCTCTGGACCCAGGAATCCAGGCCCAGCTTGGTCCTGATGATCTCCCTCACCCATTACTCCCCTCCAGGGTATTTATAGCTATTGATAACAAAGCAGATTCTGGGTCCTGCTGTTAAATGAAAATAATAAATTGTGCTTCTATGAAACCTTTGCTGTTGTGTTTATAAGTCGAACATTTTATTTAAAGTTTTCAGGCTCCAGAGCTCTCAATCTGCAATGGATATAAAACTTTAAATCTTCAGTTTGATATCATTGTCAGTCTTATGCTAAAATCTCAAAAGACAACATTACATTTCCAGATTTAATTTTGATATTATCAGCAACTCTGGGCCTCTGTGGAGACTCAAAAATATTGTCAAACATATTGACAATGAGAGCAACACAAGTGTGTAGCATCACTAACTAGCTCACAACAAGCCTACCACAGCGCCCGTGCTAACTGTTAAACTTACAAAATCATGTTTAGCTTATATCAGTAAAAATAAAATGCATCAAATTGCTGCCAAAATTTTTTTTTTCAGCCTGCTGAAATTCTTTGAAAGTCTAAAATTATTAGCAGGAAAAAAAATTACCCAACTAGCAAGCTGCCTACAAAAAAATCAAAACGAGGCCAAAGTATTTTAACTGGGCTAAAAATGCAAATAATGTAACAAAAACTTTGAATGACTTAAATAACTTAATTAATTAATAATTAATCAATATTTTATTTATTTATTAATTAATAATCCTTAATGATAATAGGTGACACGAGGTGATTTTATTGCATAACCTTTATTAAAATAGATTACTATTACAGTTTTATTAGTGGAAAGATAGACGGGTTTTGTACAGAGCCATGTTTTCTGAAGACTGCGAGAAGCAGCTAGCACAGTTTTGAAAGACATAATTTGCCATGTTTAATCCCAAAGATGTTTACTTTAATATACTGATGAGAAAAAGAAATCAAACAATGATGCAGAGGCTACAGATCAGGCTACAGACGTGATGGAGTTCTCTCTGAACAAATTAGAGTGTCTTGGACTGATGAGGATAAAACAATGAAGTAAAGCAATGCTATGTTGCCTTGTAAGTGTGAATCCTGCTCGTTTAGCAGTCTGCATAGGATAACATCCTTTAAAATCTGCATCAATTAAACTGAACTGGGCTACAGTTTCTTTATATTCAGAAACATAACATCCTATAAAGGAGAACATAGATACACTATATTGTCAAAAGTATTCACTCAGTGATCCAAATTCTTGAATTCCTGCATGGAGACCGTTTCTACAAACAATGGCAAACAATGGAAAGAATGGCTCGCTCTCAGGAGCTCAGTGAATTTGAGCATGGTACCGTGACATGATGCCACCTGTGCAACAAATAAGGTTGTGAAATTTCCTCACTACTAAATATTCCACAGCCAACTCCTAGCGGTAGTATAACAAAGTGGAAGTGATTGGGAACCAAACCAAGTGGGAGGCCATGTAAAAGTGGATGCTGAGGAGTATAGTGTCCGGAGGTCGCCAGCTTTCTGCAGAGTGTGTAGACCTCCAAACTTCATGTGGCCTTCAGATCAGCTCAAGAGCAGTATGTAGAGAGCTTCATGGAAAGGGTTTCCATCCAAGCTTTACATTAACAGAATGCAGAATGCAAAGCGTTGGATGCAGTGGTGAAAATGTGAGTTTGGACTGTATTTGTCTGAGTGCACTGTGCCAAGTGTAAAGTTTGGTGGAGGGAGGATTATGGTGTGGCTTTGTTTTTCAGGAGTTTGGCTCGGCCCCTTAGTTCCAGTGAAATATACTCTTAATGCTTCCGCATACCAAGATATTTTGGATAATTTCATGCTTCCAGCTGATTTTGGGAACTGTTCTAACATCTCTGAGCACTAGTGGAGAAAGAAGGGTCCATTAAGACATTGAAGTAGGGTGTAGAAAACCTTGACTGGCCTCCTCATCCAACATCATTGTCTGACCTTAGAAATGTGCTTCTGGAAGAATGATCAAAATTCCCAGAAACACATTCCTAAACCTCGTGGAAAGCCTCCCCAGAAGAGTTGAAGCTGTTATAACTTCAAAGAGTGGACTAGCATCATATTGAACACTATGGATTATGAATGTGATGTCACTCAATGTGATATGAATGCAAAGGAGGATAAGTGAATACTTTTGGGAGTATAGTGTATTTCTCTTCACTACAATGCAGACTGCATATCAACAGCGTGAAATGTGAAAAGTGACAAAACTCGTTGAAAATGTTAGTGTAAGATTAGATTTCTTATCGTCTTCTTTATTTGCGATTGATTTGCAACTTTGGGTTGTTCATATTAGCAAAATGCATTTTTTGCAAAAGCCCACATATTGCGTGGTAGACACTCATAGTGTTTGTGTTATTATTCAGACTGTTGCACACTAGTTTGGTGAAATTCTCCATTTCCTCACGAACCCAAAGGTGAGGCACTTCAGGACGGGCATGCCGACGTTCATCAAAGGACGCAGGGTAAAGAGCATGCAGTAGAAGGCCTGGAGAGACAGGTGTCCAGTTTCATCGCCATATTTCAGCGCTAAAATGGGTGAGTACAGCGGGCTGGTCAGATTGTGGAAATATGGATTGCTGGCTTCGATCATGCTCATTGTACGCTACAAAGAAAGATAAGACAAATGGAAAGACACCATCTGCAGTCAGACTTAAAGGATTAATCCAAGAAGGAGTCAGATGGATTAGACTGAGTGAGTCATAATGACACAGTTTATGAACTTACTTTGGCAATGTGATCAGGTGTTTGTCCCAGTATCTCAAACATATCCACAGCACCAGGGAGATAGAAATTCCTGAAGTAATTCACTGTGTCGGGATCAACACTAGGCCACTCCTTCTCTTTCATGCCCTGAATCATCTTTAACTCAAATTCTGTGTGCACGGGGCCTGGCTCCAGCATTGATAATCTGCGGAGAGAAAAACACACAACAAAGAAGTAAACCACATGGCTTAGTTAAATAGATTAAAATGAGCTTTCACTGTTTTAAACACAAGTGTGCTCGGATTTCTGACGCAACTGGATAGTTAAACTGTTTTGAATGAAAAAAGAAGGGAAAAAACCCCAAACCAAAACATTCTTATGCTGTTCTGTTGGTTTTATCAGTTATTTTTTTAATCCCTTTTTTCAGATTGAAATTCAGCTAACTAAATTTTTGGACAGTTGATTGCCATGTAAGTTTTTTTTAGAGTAAGTCATCTAACATGCCTGTTGATCCCTGAAATGTTCCTCTAGTTCGGCCATTACATTGATATTTATTGTTTTTTGTGAAATGCCTTGAGGTTATTAGACGGATCCTCTTGGGACCATAAATGTTTTCACAAAATGTCACAATAATGTTAAATATTTGTTGAACATTTCAGTTTGCACCAAAGTAGTAGTGTACCAACCAAAACAGTAACATGTAGCAGTTATTTGTATATTTTTTTATTTTTGCAGCTTCTCCTACTTGATGCTGGAATTAGGGCGAGGCCTCTTTGATTGACAGGTATCCCAGCACAGGTACTTACAGCCTGCTAGACGGTCACTACTTCAGTGCATTAAACCGAACTTCTGCACCATGTGTGTGCTGTTGGAGCCTTTTGAAGCTTTATTTAATGGATAATCTGAGTAATATTTTGATTTGCTGTTTGGTACAGGCCATCCAAGAAGTTTTCTTTTGCAGCATTTTGTGGAGTCCAAAATCCCTGGATAATGTCACAGAGTCTACATCCATCTTTTATACTCTCTACAGGCGGGCCTACCTTGACAGATTACTACACTGAAATGTAATGTTCCTAAATCAGTTCCACCCCATGCTTTGCCTTCAAAATGTCAACAGTGTGACGGTGAAAAAACCTTCAGCTTGAGGCTTCCCAAACTAATGGAAATTCAGTGACAAATGGGTAACCTCAAAGTTTGTTTGTTCATCTTTTATTCACAGCCACTGATTACTGTCTTTTTAACAGTCAATTGTACTCACATGACATTAAAACTCAAAAGCTGCGCAGCCAGACCCTCGCAGAAGCCCTCAAGAGCAAACTTGGAAGCTGCGTATACCTCGTTAAACGCCACCCCTGTGAAAAACAAAGCGTACATGTAACCTCACAGATCGGCTGTTCACACGTTTCTGAAGTCATACACATTAGTCTCTTCATATGTCCGCACTTCCATTAGCCTGCCGTCCACCCGCCTAACCGTCAAACTGAAGCTGACAGACATGTTACTTCCCCCGCCACACCTCCTCTCCCTTCATACGTCTACGTCTGCTCACCTTGGAGTCCCATCACACTGCTGATCACTATGATGCGTCCCGCTCTCCTATTCTTCATGTCAGGCATCACCTCCTTGATCAGACGAACTGATCCATAGAAGTTGGTCTCAAAGACGTTGTTCATCTCGTCCATAGGGATGCTCTCCACTGGACCCACCAGGCCGATGCCTGCATTACTTACTGGTTTGGAGAAAAAGGATGAATTGAAGAAAAGGTGATATAGTATAGTATCAAAGTATAGTGATGCCTTCGTTGTACTCACTGAGGATGTCTATGTGTCGATCTTTGATGCTGTCGACACACTGTTTCACCGACTCGTCACTGCAGACGTCCAGTTCAGCCACAAAAACAGTTTTGCCGTACAAATCCCCAGCAGCTTTCACCAGATTATCTTTACGTTTCAGGTCACGCATCGTAGCTATTACTGCAGACAACATGGTGACAGAAAAGAGAAAAAAGACAAAAAATAATAAGCTGGGATTAATGTTCACATGTTTTGTTATCTTAGCCTCATTCTGTGATTTGTTTCATCTCTATCAGCTTTGCAAAAACAAGATTGCCACAGAAACGCGACATTTTTATTTAACCATTATTTATAGGTAAGGTCACGACTTCACTCCAGCCATCAGAGATGATCATCATCTTAGCTGACAAAACACCTGATCACACTGGAACTCAGGAGCTGGAAGATCTATAAGCCCACAGAGGTTGGCTGGAGAGGTTTTGCAGGACTGTTCCTCTGGAAAGGCCTTAATCGACCAAATCCAAGATTGAAGCCACAGACAAAGCCACTGGATGGCTTTGGATTAAAAGCTGATCCATGGGTAGCTTCTGTTTGGATGCAAGTCTGGGCTTGATCAGCCCTTGCTGCGTTACCCAGGCGACAGTGTCTGATTTTGAACGACCAGACCAAAACAGCCCCGTAACCCCTGAGAACCTAGAAGATGTATCTTACGCACCGTGAACCAATGCAACCTTCCATCTGTAAATAAATGATTAGGAAACTGCAGGTAAAATGCTTATATGCAGACAACATTGCCGAGTCAGACTAAGTTCAGTGTCTACGGCGGTATTCAAACTGACAAGGTATGAATGAGCACAAAAACAGTGTTTTTTATTTCACCCAATGAAAGGCTCTGGTGCAGCATCAACATAGGATTTACACACATTTTTGAGCTTTTACGTGAGAATTTTCAATCTGAACGAGCCTGTCCTTGTGTACATGCCTGTGGCAGAGGGGTGTGCTCCGCTGGAGGGGAGGGTTGGTGCAGCGGGCTCGAGGGGCACTGCCAGGATGGCTGGCAGGGAAGCTGAAAGCACTTTAGAAAATGCATTTTCCCTGTTTCAGTGATGCCGGACATGGAGGAGAGGGAAGTTCAGGTGGTGATGGCTGGAAAGTGGCCGCAAAGCACAAAATACTATATATAAAGCTATCAATAAAACAGTTCTCACAGCTCTTACTGTTCACAATGCGATCAACAGCTGTGAGTCAGGTGGAATAATATCCTATAGGTAAACATACAGGATAAAGTCCACACACATGGCCTTCATCCTGTGCGCACATGCCTACTTTTCATGATTCAAACATGACTTATTTATTAGTTGTCACTTTCTAAATAGCAGAAGGGGAATCTATGCTATAGATAGCCACCATAGTAATGATAAACCTTAAGTAGCTTTCTGTGATGATGCATAGTATGCAGACTGGCATTAGCCTTGCCATGACACATCACCTGCCTGCTCCAAAAATAGCCCAGTCAGCCTTCACAGCCTCGTCCGTGAGATCCTTGAATAAAGCAATTATTACACTAACTGTGGCTGGCTTCCTCTTTTTACCTGTTGTCTGATGTTTTAAGAGAGACTAAGGTCGAAATTGGCAACACAGACATCTACACAGCAGCATGTAGCGAGCTAGGAGAGTGTTTCCTTTCACTGCAAAATGCAGTTTCTGGCCTTAATGTTGGAGCAATACCCTGAGCACCACTGACAATCACTGACCGCTTCGAAGTCCATAATCTTTCTAGTTACATTTTTCATCCTCTGAACAAGTAATTCTTGGCTATGGTTCTAGAGGTAGAGCAGGACATGTAATCTGAAGGTTGGTGATTTGATCTCTCACTGCACTGGATACCAAAGTCTACTTTTGAGTTTCCCAATACATTAATCACTGTGTGATTGAGTGAATGTGACATGTTGTATGAAGCACTCTAAGTGCTCGATCAAATTGGAAAAGTGCTATATACGAACCAGTTCATTTACCATTTAACATAAGATAAGACAAGATAGCCTTTAATAGTCCCACAGTTAAGAAATTTGCTTTGTTACAGCAGCACAGTATAAGTATGCATTTTTCCCATGCTATGATATCATTGTTTATGACTGTTTAATAGTATCAAAAGACACAGAGAGGCATTAATATGACTAGCAGGAGAAATGGAACAGTAGAAAGGCAGCATTACATACATATATAATTAGCTGTGACTGGGTGATGTAATGATTTTTAACACAGGCCGTGTGTTCCAACAGTTTGGTATTGGATGTAACAGAGAGGGCGTAGGAGGCAGCCTTTGAAGGAGTGCACGCAGCTTTGATTTGGATTAGATCTGGTCTGATGCTGCAGAGTCTTAGTTTCTCTGGCAAAACTCGATGCGCTGTATTTCAGTGCAGACTGGCAAAAAATTGCTTCTCATGCTGGCGCACATGTCTGTAACAAGCTGTGCAAGTACTGGAGATCTGTTTTGTAGAGCTAACAGGTTTTTTGGTGATAACCTGAGAAAATGACAGCAGTTCTCTTCAGGAAATATATACAGTGGGGCAAAAAAGTATTTAGTCAGCCACCGATTGTGCAAGTTCCCCCACCTAAAATGATGACAGAGGTCACTAATTTGCACCAGAGGTACACTTCAACTGTGAGAGACAGAATGTGAAAAAAAAATCCATGAATCCACATGGTAGGATTTGTAAAGATTTATTCGTAAATCAGGGTGGAAAATAAGTATTTGGTCAATAACAAAAATACAACTCAATACTTTGTAACATAACCTTTGTTGGCAATAACAGAGGTCAAACGTTTACTATAGGTCTTTACCAGGTTTGCACACACAGTAGCTGGTATTTTGGCCCATTCCTCCATGCAGATCTTCTCGAGAGCAGTGATGTTTTGGGGCTGTCGCCGAGCAACACTTATTTTCCACTCTAATTTACGAATAAATTCTTTACAAATCCTACCATGTGGATTCATGGATTTTTTTTTTCACATTCTGTCTCTCACAGTTGAAGTGTACCTCTGGTGCAAATTACTGACCTCTGTCATCATTTTAAGTGGGGGAACTTGCACAATTGGTGGCTGACTAAATACTTTTTTGCCCCACTGTATGATATATGTGGCAGAATACTGTTGATGAGGACATGAACCATTTCCTTTAAATATCCTCAAATCATTGGTATTTGCACCTCCGCTTTTGCATTTCTGAAGCAAAGAGCTCCAAAGAAGGTCAACTTTGGCCTCCAGGTTCTACATAAAGTAAAAATTTCAGCCAATAGCTTCGTAAGAGACTTATTTGTTTTTTAAGAGTGTTGCATTACAAACACGATCATTTTACAACTTAACAACACTAAAAAAAGACAGTAGAGGATAAAGCTCCTGTGATAAATTATATTAGTTTTTAATTATTTCACTGAACTTGGTCTGTTTCCCTATGTCTTATAACACAACTGTAGCCTGTTCACGTGCCAGACCAGTTAAAATCTAATATATAGGTATCATCTACCTTCCTCACTCATGTACCCACCGTGATAGCGCTGCTTTTCATCCTCGGCCAGCATTACGGCAATCCTCAGGCCGATGCCGGAGGAACAGCCTGTGATCAGCACCACTTTCTGCCCATGTCTCTCCATGGCTCTGCTCAAACTGATACTAGCAGACAAGCAGCTCAGCAGGATGAGTGATACTTTCAGATGAAAGCCATTATAAGAGGATAAACTCAGAAAGGGAGTCACATGGACAGGCCACACACCACACAATGCATGAAGACTGGGATTATCCAACAGCTTTGCAGGCATAATATAACTGTTAAAACTGAAAAAAAGGACAGTAGCATGTGGAAGAACCATACACAACCACAGCAGCCTGTCACCTCATCATTGCAACTACTACTGTCTCATTCTTCAACCAGCATTTGTCACATCACCCAGTACGGTTGTTTTGGTCACTCTGGCACAAACAGGTTGTGATCCCACAAGTGTTCAGTGGGGTTGAGGTCGCTCCGTTCCATCCTCTCCAATCCCAAATTCTGGAGGCAGTCTCTGAAAAACCCCACTGTGTGTGAGCAGGTTTTTGTCATCTTAGAGGACAGAGTTGAGTCTCAGACTGTGGAGATATGGGATTGCCACTGGTTGCCATCTCATCTTGATATTTCTCTGCACTGAGATTGCTTCCAGTAAAGATGAGCCCTATTTTTCCAGTGAGGGAGATGCTGCCACACACTGTCACACTGCCTCCACCAAAAGCTGTTATTCTATCAGTGCAGCAATCAGCATAGTGTTCTCTGTGTCTTCTCCACACTTCGACCCCATGATCCAGCAGAATCTGGACTCATCACTGAACATAAAGTTCCTCCACAGCTTCAGGTTCCAGTGCACATGTTGGTGACACCAGTGTAAACGGGCCTGACAGTGAAGGGCAGTTATGGCAGGCCTCCTGACAGCTCCATGAGACCAGAGATTAGCTGTGTGCAGTCTGTTCTGGATTGTCTGGTTTTCTCTTTGTCCTGGAAACCTTCACTGCAAATCTGTAAAAGACTCCCTACAGTTCCTAAGTGCTGACAAGTTGAGGAATTGGTCTTCTTGGCACGCCCACTTTGTGGCGTGTGTCTCACATCCATTATATGGAACCTGGCCTTCAGTTTGGAGATTCAAAAAATGCTGTAGCTTGGCTTTGCAGAACACCATTTTCAGGTTACCCTGTGGCATGAGCCATGTCCAGATCAGTCACATGTGTCTGTGCCATGTGTCTGCGTGGAGCAGACACCAACTGTAGCAGGGTTCTGCTGCTGGTGTCAGTCAGGAGCCTGAATGTCAGCACCTGGGGTACCAGAAGTTCAAACAAAAGTCAACAGCAGAACAAGCTTTTTGGTACTGGCAGAGAAGTTTGGCAAGTTCTTCATGGGCGCAACTCAGATACTCAACTTTGCTGCTCAACCCACAAATGCATTTTTCTAATAAATGTGACACCATTTTAGGGGAAATAAAAAGACTTTCTAATGGTGTAATTTTTGTTGCTAAGAAGCATTGTTACAACAAAGAAATAATCCACCAAACACAAGTTTTTGTACTTTTTGTGTTAAGTTTAGATGTCAGCTTGTGTAGACCTCCACCAAGAAATTTGGCGACTCCCAGTGGTCAACATGATTACTTTCAATAGATAAACTTAAATTACTGAAATGTAATCAAAATATAAAGGGCAGTGTTGCGCTAGCAGCACAAAGGATAAAAATAGTATAATCTACAATAAAAACAACTTTGACAAAAGTACCAATTGTCCATACTGAAGGCCTCATATGTGAGGCAGTGCAAAATGTTATATACAGTAAACTGAAAAAAAGGCCATGTTGGATTTACTTGATTCAATAGTGGACATTGGTTGCACACAAATGTTTTGCTTTGGCAGAAACTTAAACAACTGAGTTAAATCAACAGAACTTTTTCATATTCAATAAACGTGCATTTTGTGTTCATAAAACACGATTGAAACATTTTTAGATGAAGTAAGTTGAGCTCTTGGAATATTTTAATCCTTCACAATTTTGTCATTTTATTTCAACACTATTCAATAACTTTTACCCCAATACTATTGGTCACTTAAATACTACATGTTGTCTTCATATTACATAATGTTCAACAAAGTCTAGAGTCTGGTTACCATGAAAACTGAATGGATCTACAACTTCCTTCTATCTTTATCCTGGTTGCAGGGGGGTTGGGAAATAACCCTGAAGTGATAGTTACAAGGCACGGTACACCCTGGACAGCTCACAAGTCTATCGCAAACCAGTATTTGCGCTTACATTGACAGGTAATTTAGAATCACCAGTTAACCTAACTCTAACAACTGCACGACTTTTAACTGTGGGAAGAAACCAGAATACCCAGAGAGAAACCTGTGCAAACTAGCCAGATTGTGGATTTGAACCCAGGACCTTCTTACTGTGAAGCACTAACCACCATGCTACCAATCCAGACTTAACGAAAGTAGGAAAGCTATGATTTCAAGGCTTGATGCAGAATTTTTTTGTATGTTTTTGTCCTTGACAGGTTAAACCACAATAAATAGCAATAGCATGCACGTGGTGTGTGTGTAGTTGTCTGCCTCTTATAACTCCAGTGATTTTCCTGCAGTTTGACATCTCGCGTGATCTTGTGAATTCCATGAGTTCAGCAACTAAGCACTCTTACTAGATTGTATCATGTCAACAAGAACAAATTAAGTTGTTGAATTTCACTCAGATCCTTCGTGATTTAATTACGTTCATAGAAACATGAAATTATTGTGTTCAAATTACAAGTTAGACTTTTTTAATGTAACAACCACCCAATTTACCTTTTACGGTATACCAAAAAAAGTAGAGGCGGCTGCTCAACTTGACTGACATGGATGCCTTCCTGAAACCATGATCCAAAGCGCGTGAGACTGAAATCCCGTGCAGTGTCGTAGTAAGTTATTGACTGCACTCGAACATGATATGAACAATTTAATCTAGCCTCTCTGCATATCATGTAGTTTCTACACTATATAGTTACACTTAGTTTTAAAGCATGAGGCACTTGTGTTAAATACATGCAAGATGCTTATGTAAATCCAAGAGCTGGCCAATCCCTTTTTTTCAGTGTAAAGAGAATTCTAGCAAATAGTGTAAATGGCATTAATAAATGTACACCACTAATCTAAGAAGAACAGCAAAAATGTTTGATACAAAAATTTGTAAATGTGTGTGGAAACTGTGGAAGGTGTGTTTACCTGTCACAAAAAGGAGAGCACGGAGTGTTTTTTAGAGAATGGTATGAATGATTTCCTGATGCGTTCTTCATGGCAGAGAGGGTAAAGAAGGAGAAGGAGCTCAGCCCCCTCTGTAGTGAAGATTTGTGGGGGTGAGATGGGTTATTCATTGTGACTACTCCAGATTCCAGCTGTGCATTGTTGAGTCTGATCAATTTACTTTAGCTTTTGTTCTAAGACAAAGAAATAAGACCATTAGCACAATGGTGTGGATTCTTTTTTATTTTGGAGCACAAACATATACACACACGCACTTCAACACAAGACAGTAGCTTCCAGTCATACATTTAAGACAACCTACCTGAAGCAGGAGGTACAGGGACTTGGGAAATATGCCTGGAATCTATTCTCTTCTCCAGAAAATCAGCATGCATGTGTGCCAGAATCCAATTGAGTCTTGTTGCCAAAACAGTGCTGTTACTTGAAGAGCTCGTAATAATTATGACTAATAATATCACAAGTGCCTTTAAATATGAGATCATTTCCCTCTGAGAGTCTGATCATAAGCAACGTGCCGAAAATTGTGCTTACAAAGGAAATAATTGCTCTTTCCTTCTGATACTTTGTAATTCTCTGAGATAACTTACAGTATGTTGCCAAAAGTGTTTCTGTAGAAATAAAATAGAATAAAACTGAATTTATTTTAAGCCCAATCACAAAAACTGTAATGGGATTCCAGATTTGTGGAAAACCTGCAGCCAGATCACTCCATAAATAATAACAATAATAACAATAATACTAATTATAGTAGAAAATCACCCTTGTGCACTTTTTATGACAATATCCGTTGAAATTTGGTCAAAAATTTGCATGCACATACACAAAAAAAGGAAAGAAAAATACACATCTTTTAGACATAACAAATGCAAATGAAGCATGTGTGTGCGCATGTGCGGAGTTCGCAGTCTGTTAGACTTCTTCATTCATAAACTTCTTGTACTCCCAGTGAGCTGCTTTAACTTTTGATAAGTTTCTGCAGAAATCAGGGAGCCTATTTTTCTTTTATCGTGCACATGTGAGAAGGCTATGGTGTGCGTCTGAAGAGAGCGTGGGGTGGGCAAAGACAGACAGGCACTGGAATTTGGAATCTGCAGCGGCATATTTTTATTAGTTGGGCAGCACCGCTGTCCTGTCCTAGCATGCTGTGTATGTGTGCCTTCAGAGGGGGGGAGCAGTCAGTGCAAAGTGGCACACTCGTGTTTGTAAAAGAGAGCAGTTCCCCCCCCCGGTAGGTTATTATTAATATTAAAGTCTAATAACAAAAAAGTGTGCATGTGCTCGTGCGTGCCATCGCTGTATTGCAATCTGTGCTCGTGCACGCAGGGCACACAGGCGCGCCAAATCACAGAGACATCACATAATCCCTAAATCACTCATCCAGTATTGATGCTAAGAGTGACACGCGCAGTAATTATGGTTTGAGCACAGCCCCACGAGCCTAGAAGGAGTCTCCGGGGAGGCAGGGAGGGAGGGGTCGCCCTGCAGAGGAGGAGAGGGGAGGGAGGGGAGAGAAAGTGAGGAAAGTTCTCTGCGGGTGAAGTTAGAAACACCTTCCCCCAGATCAAGGGGCTCTTCATCACCGGTCTGCCGTTTTCATCCGTCCACCCAGAAGTCAAAGAGCAAAGAGAGCGGTGTGCGGGCTCCTGGGTATCACCTGTAATCAGCTGAGTCCGCTTTTATGCATGCGCGCTCTTAATTACAGCTGCGCATTAAGACGCACGGGCGCTGCCAGACTGTTGAAGCTCTCTGGTGCAGAGTCAGAGCCGTGTCCAGAGGAGCGAAGAGCAGCCGCGACGGAAGTGTTTCATTAATAAGTTCATGATGGATCGATGGAGCCAAGTGCGCCTGACGTGGCTGCTGTTGCTGC